AATGGCGCGAGCAAGGTGGCCACGGTACGGCCTGGCGAGACGGTGCAGAGGATATACTCGGTCGGCTTCTACTGCTTGACCAGCACGAGCTACGATACCCTGCTCAACGACGAAGTCAATCCCTACCCTACCGACACCATCGACGACGAAGGATACGAAATGGGCTTCGGCGGCAGGAAAGAGCAGTCGCCCATGGAACACCCGTGTCTGGCGCTCAAGAAGATACTCAGCAGCGGAACCTTCTACTACAGCTCAGACTTCGACCTCACCCGACGATTGCAAGACCGTACAACCGACGCCGCGACCGTTTCCATCGATAGTCTAGACGCTGGCTTTCTGTGGAATTCATACATGATCCAGCCGCTGGTCGACTTCAGAAGTCGCCTTGCGCCCAAGGAGAAGGAGGCTCTGGATGCTTCGGGGATCCTGACATCTGCGATCCGGGGTTTCGCCCTTACAATTACCATCCCCAAATCCTCTGCTCCCATTAGGGTACAAGACTCGGGCATGCCGTCTTCCATGACACTGATCTCCAGATTGTCGTGCAAGAGGGCAGGAACGAGGTTCAATTCGCGAGGTATCGACGATGACGGGAACGTCGCAAACTTTGTTGAAAGCGAAACAATCTATTGGGCGCCGTCCGGGGCCTGCTTCTCCTACGTGCAGGTGCGAGGAAGTGTACCCATATTCTGGGAACAGCAGGCTGGTTTGCTTCCAGGGCAGCAGAAGATCACCATCACTCGATCGCCGGAAGCCACGCAGCCGGCCTTTGACAAGCACTTCGACAATCTAGAGCTCAGCTATGGCACAGTTCATGTCGTCAATCTTCTGAGCAACGAAAAGCAGAACGAACTAGAGTTGACGCACAGATATCGCGGCCACATCAGAAACAGCCCTTTGAATCAAGGAAGCGACATCAATGACCAACAGCACGATCTCATCAAGCTCACGGAATACGATTTCCATGCTGAAACACGGGGACCAGGTGGCTATGAGATGGCTAGTATGATCGCTCAATGGATCCAAGATTCTGCCGAAGGATTTGGATATTATCTCTCGGAAGAGGTGGATGAAGTCACAAGACACAATGGAGAAAACTACGCTGTCCGCCGGACAATGAGCATATTACAACAGGAGGGTGTCTTCAGAACAAACTGCCTGGATTGCCTCGACCGGACGAATCTTGTCCAAACCATTATTAGCAAGATGGCGTTGGAGATCTTCTTAAGTCACAAGGGCCTTCGAGCTAGCCAGGACTTCTGGGTCAGACATTCAAGTATGTGGGCAGACTGTGGTGACGCTCTTTCGAAAATCTATGCAGGTACAGGAGCGTTGAAGTCCTCGTTTACGCGATCGGGAAAGATGTCGCTTGCTGGTGCTCTGGCAGACGCTCGTAAGAGCGCCACTCGAATGTACATTAACAACTTCGCGGACAAAGGGCGACAGAACACGATCGATATGTTACTTGGTAGACTGATTGGCCAGGTTCCAGTGCATCTGTACGATCCCCTCAACGACTTCGTGGTTGCGGAGCTGGCGCGACGGTCCGCAGAGTATTCGGAGACCGAGATGATCAACATCCTTGTCGGTACATTCAACTTAAACGGAAAGACAAGTGGTATTAAAAGCGATCTTTCGCCATGGCTATGCCCAGACGTCGATCCGTCACAGCAGTGCCCCGAGATAGTAGCTGTAGGGTTTCAAGAGATTGTTGAACTGAGCCCTCAGCAAATCATGTCGACGGACCCAGATAGACGCGAAGCTTGGGAGGAAGCCGTTAGGGCATGTTTGAACAACAACGCTGAGAAGCATAGAAAAGATGAATATGTCATCCTCAGAGGTGGTCAGCTAGTAGGTGCGAGTTTGTCGGTCTTTGTCCGGTCAGACTGCCTAAAGCATATCAAGAATGTTGAGGGCGCTCTCAAGAAGGTATGTCAGCATGTTTCGCTCTTCCACGTATTGGGCTAATTGGCATCCCAGACTGGCATGTCAGGTATGGCTGGCAACAAAGGAGCCGTAGCTATTCGATTTGAGTACGCCAACACTTCGGTCTGTCTGGTTACAGCACATCTTGCGGCTGGGTTTGCCAACTACGAAGAGCGTAATCGTGATTACAAGACTATCAGCCATGGTCTACGCTTCCAGAGAAATCGATCAATCGAAGACCACGATACTGTGATATGGCTTGGCGATTTCAATTACCGAATTGGTCTGAGCAATGAAAAAGTTCAAAGGTTATGTCATGTCGGTGATCTTGAGACCCTGTATGACAACGATCAGGTAGGCACTCACGCTTTGCTCGCCAGAATCATAGCTAACGTCCTGCAGCTCAATCTCCAGATGGTCGCCGGCTTAACCTTCCCATATTATTCTGAGGCTCGCATAACTTTCCCGCCAACGTACAAGTATGATCTTAACAGTAATCAATACGATACGTCCGAGAAAGCACGCATTCCCGCCTGGTGCGACCGTGTGCTTCGCAAGGGTGACAATATTCGGCAGATACATTACAACGATGCCCCACTTCGTTTCTCCGACCACCGTCCAGTCTACGCGACCTTTCAGTTATTGGTACAGCGAATCGACGAAAAGAAGAAGGATGCTGTGAAGGCGGCATTGTATCGACAAAGAAGAGAAGTTGTGGGCGATACTCATGCAGCAGGACGTCTAGGCGAAGATGAAACGGACGACGAAGATCTCTTAGGGTATGATAGTATTGAACCAGGGCTACCACCTGCAAGCTCAGACCGGAGGAAGTGGTGGCTTGACAACGGTATTTCTATCTTAATTCCTGCTATAGCTTGGATGCTCATTTTCCATAGGTTTACCGGCGAAGGCACGCGTGGAACCGCCATCTAACAATCACTTCCCAAATCCAAACCGACCGAGCAACCCATTCACTCCTAGCCCAGAACCAGAATGGGTAGATGTCAAGCACATGCCGAACAGTCGCAGACCTGAGCCACCACCAGCACGCGGCTCACAAAGATCACGCACAGTTGATTTTGACGGTCCCTCGACAAGTTTACCGCCAACGCAGAAGCCAGCAGCCCGCAAGATGATTGCGCCGTTGTACCCAGGCCATGCCAATCAAATACTTGGCTCAGACGGTGCGCGAGACTCGCTCAGCGATCTTCGACGCAGCGGATCAAACGCTTCCACACACTCCATGCCCAGCTTACCGTACCGCGCATCAAACACGCTTCCCTCAGCTCAATCCTCAAACAAACCACAAGTCCTCCGGAAACCAGCCCCACCCCCAGTTCCTAACAAGAAACCTTCACTTCTCTCCAAGAGTCCCTCGCCGGGGCCGTCATACGCACCTCCTCCACAACGATATCGCGACGACCCTCCGGAAGAATCCAGAGCACACCTACAACCAACAGCCAGACGGTCAATGGCGCCGCCACCTAATTTAACGAGGAAACCGGTACAAAATCTTATCGATGATGATTTCGAGAAACCAGCCTTGCCACCACGCACCGGTACCGGTGGAAGCACTAGGAGTGGTGGTCGAGGAGGCAGGAGCTTGATGGATGATGAGCCGGAAGATATGCGCAGCATGGGTGGTGACTGGGAGGTTCTCAGGCCTGCGTATAGATAAAACCATAGCTCCAAAACAATATATTCCGTGCTGCTTCAGAGTATGTCTCGTTGCTGGGTTAAATGTCGCTGTAAAGACTCCTTACTTGGAGTCAGCGTGAAACAACGGGTTGCACAGTGATAGCATGCAAGAGGGGTTTTGTAACTGCCAGTCCAAGTCACGCGATGGCGCGTGCTGTCGCGTCAGGGCTAACCCAATCCCACACCTCACAAACACCACCCTCGGGCCACGAACACCAACAACGCGATCGGACATGCAATACATGCGCATAGTTCAGTATGAAGAGGAAAGGCAGTGCTCAAAGCGGTGGAGAAACCTGCAAGAAAGCAAGACGCGATGTGGACCGATCCTTCACCAACGCTACTCATCCAGTCCTACAACGTCTCTATCCAGAGGTGCTTACCCTGCGCCAATATTTGCTATCTAAACTACCAAGCACATCGAAAAATAGACAGCGAAAGATCTCGCAGCTTGGACGTACAACATCCGCCCAGGGCATAAGTCAGAATCATCTCGATACCGCCGTAGTACAGTTGCTCGATTCAACATTAGTGTGCACTTCCAGTGTGAACGCAGACACAGGTGCTCATACGTGTTTCAAAGAAGAGCGGGAAAAGGACATCAGAGCATTTACCCAACAGCGCTCACAGAGTACTCCTGGCAGCACCTTCAATCCTGGATACTATATGCAATCTGAGGTAGGTCGTGGCATGTATCACATGCTTCCAGGATTGCGCTTATGGAATGACTACTGAGTGAATACAGATTGTCGATTTCGTGATATGGCGCTTATTCAAACGCTCAACAGCTCACAAGCCAACGCACCTGCTCTGTCATGGATTTCAAAGAACTGGAACCACCCGCCGTGAACAGGGTAATAATGGGAATCCGAGTTCTTCAATTCCTAATCTGCAAGAGCGTCAACCCAACAGCTACAGGCAGACTTTGAAAGAGCCAGTATGGTGTCGATTGCACGCATTACTCGGTCAGGGCGGCGATCGCATCATCATAGACATGCTTCTGGAGTCCTCTATCTTCATTCCTCTTAATGCAGATATGGGCAACTACTACCAATTGTCCGGAATGCCCATTTCTGAGATAAAATCGGATGGATTTCAGAAGAGCAACACCGTAAGAGTCGATGTGGGTTACGAAGCCGTCAATAATCCCTCACGTGTCAAGAGCGAATGTAAAACAGCAGGTACAATCACGTTTGTGCGGAGTCGCATGTTATATGCGAAAGCGGCCCTGAATGCCAAAGGTGGTGTAAGGTTTGGCATGCGCCACATTCGTGCGTTCTCTACTATCCTTCGGATGCTTCAATTACCTGACTTGGCTGGTAGATGTTCTCAATCGTTTTCCTAGCCGGGAAGATAAGCAACAGACGATACACATCATGCGGTATATCTTTCCCCGTCAATTCGGCTTGCACAATGTCTTCACCTCCAAGGTAGATCCGCGTGAGACCGCCATGCCGTTCATGGACTACACACTGCGCGAGAAAGACATATACAGTAGAATGTGCCGGGAGTTGGGTAGCGAAGCTACCAATGCTGAGAAGATAGTCAAATGGAAACAGCGAACGCCCAAGAGGCTCCGAGGTGACGCTGTCAGGTTGGTTGAGAAACTTCGAGTGCGGAACCAGCGGTGTTCGTACATGGAAATGCTTCGTCATTACGCTCCAATCGAGGTACGTACTGACTGATCTGTGTTTTGAGAAATCATGCTAACTCAGGCAGGGGATGCCTTTGTCAACGAAGCCAGAATGGAGGAAGAGCGTTATTCAGCCGGTCGTAAAGACAACTAATTGTGAAAAGAAGAGTCAGTATACGTCCGAAACTCGCACCGTTCAGCAAACATGTTTCACAGATCTTGCGTGTCCAGCGGCACACGTCTCAGCTTTTTGTCGTGCAGTCATCTCTAAGGTCATACCCGAAGGCTTCTGGGGTAACGAACACAACAAAAGCAATCTCATGTATTGGGTAGACCAGTTCATAGAGCTTCGAAGATTTGAGTCGGTCAATTTGCATCAGGTCACACAGAACATACAGGTCTGTACTCTTCTACCTGAATATTGAATTGTGCTGACGGATCCCAGATCACGAAAATAGCCTGGCTGCGCCCACCCGGCCACAACGACGACACAAAAATTTCCAATTCCGACATGAGCAAACGCACAGAGATGTTTCTTGAGTTCGTCTACTGGCTCTTTGACTCTTTCCTCATCCCTCTGGTTCGCACGAACTTCCATGTAACCGAATCCAACGCACACCGGAACAGGCTTTTCTACTTCCGCCATGATGTCTGGCGACTATTGGCAGAGCCTGCTCTGTTGGAGCTGCGTACGAACATGTTTGAAGAAATGCCAACGGAAAGCACGGAAAGACTGCTATCTGCACGTCAGCTCGGCTTCAGTAACATTCGTCTTCTTCCTAAGAGGCAAGGCTTCCGGACTATCATGAACCTGAAGAGAAGACAGCAAGTAATGCGGTATGGGACTACGATGCTTGGTCGAAGTATAAACGCGGTGATGACACCGGCTTTCAATGCGATCACTTATGAGAAGGTCAGTATATTGCTAAAGTTGACGACATTGTCGGCGCTAACCAGATGTAGTCACTACGGCCCGAACAATTTGGCTGCTCACTGTTCTCTGTCGGGGATATGTTTCCCAGGCTTGCATCTTTTAAGGCTTCATTGCGACAACGGGGACTTGGCGACACTCGGCTTTATTTTGCCAAAGTTGACGTGCAGGCTTGCTTCGATACCATACCGCAGTCACGCTTACTGCGTATGATCGACAGTCTCATGTCGATCCAAGCTTACAAGACGGGCAAACATGTGGAGATATCTCCTCTTCCCCCTCTACAACGCCTTGATGGTAAACATGTGGATCCAATGCCACTGAAAAAGTACATTCCGCACACTGATGCAGCAACGGATATAACCCCTTTCAATCAACTGGTGCAAGATAGGCTGGCAGGCAAAAAGGCCAACACTATCTTTGTCAACACCGACTTACAACGGCATGAGACTAAAGATGATTTGATGCAGCTCCTGCAGGAGCACATAGAGAGAAATGTTGTCAAGATCGGGAAGCGCTTCTATCGCCAGAAGACGGGCATACCCCAAGGGTCTGTTCTGTCGAGCATCCTGTGCAACTTCTTCTATGCTCAGCTAGAACGCGATGTCCTCGGATTCGCACTTGATGACGACTCTTTGCTACTTCGTCTGCTTGATGACTTTCTTCTGATCAGTATCAACGAAGAGTACGCGCGGCGCTTCGTACGTGTCATGCACAATGACCATCCAGAATACGGCGTAGTAATCAAGCCTTCAAAGTCATTGGCGAACTTTGACGTGATGACAGAGGAGGGGACCCGGATATCAACAAGCGGCTCAGATGGCAAATTCCCGTATTGCGGCGTCTGCATTGATACAACGACGTTGGAGATCAGCAAGAAGACAGAGCGCCCTACAAAGACCGGTACGTCGCATTGGATGTATATTTTTGATTGATGACCGTCAAGGGCTAATTAGTCCAGGTGTTGAGGACTCTTTGACTGTAGATCTGACCAAAATGCCCGGCCAAACGTTCCATCGCAAAGCTCTCAAGTAAGTCAATACCCGGTATACAGGTCCGGCCAATCAGGCTAGGGACGGGAAATAAAAGTCCAATATTTTGCTGATATTTGATAGCGCTTTTAAAATCCAGCTTAAAGCTATGTTGATCGATCAATCGTTGAACAGCGTGGCAACGGTACTAGCGAACCTGCATCAAAGCTTTGTTGAAGCGGCGGTGAGGTGCCTCGAGTACGCACGCGCATTATCCAAAGTGCGGACGACGTGTTCGAATCTGCTTATCAGTACGTCTAAACTTTCCTATTTGAAGTGTTGAAGTCCAAATCCATCAAGATGCGCATGCAGGGCTGCCCAGTAAGAGGCAGCGCGTGGAATGGATGATGGTCAGATAACACAAAAGCGAGCACAGTTTGCGCCACGGACGATCGTGATTGCGCTCGGTTACGCTAGCGAGGGAAATTGCTGACAAGGGAACTGCAGAGACGGTAGATAATATGATTGCGCTAGCCTATGTGATGCTACAGCGCCGTTCGCGATGGCGCGGCAGCAGAGAGGCAGAGATTGCGCAGGGCGTCATTTCGCGACGGCAGCTTCAGTGGTAAGTGTGGCTAAGCTTCCATGTCGTACAAGTTATGCGGGTGGATGCACGATCTGCGATTTGGCTAGATCGACTCCACGGTTTGGAGGATGACATGGCGGGGCTCGTATTTACCTGTTTCCAACGAGGGCTAATTTAGAGGGATAGGCTGGCTTGTAAAGCTTTTCAGACGGTGTTTCAGCGCAGGCAGACACAGCACCGCGCGCTACTAGCCTGGCTGAAAGGGTCTCTGTCGGCTTGTTGCATTTCTGACATGGCAGAGAGACAGATGCTGGAGGAGGCAATTACTTGGCATTGAAAGCTTAATGCACTAATCCAGTGGAGTGAAGAAAGAAGTTGCAGGATAGGCTTTCAAGACGATGTTGGGAGAGGTGACGGATCAGGAACTCGGGAAGAAGCAACCTAAGGATCTGTGCCGGGGGTCCACGCAGCGCCCACGTTTAGCGGCGGCATGTGGGCGCGACTGCAAGCCTTGGGCCTTGGCTGCAGCAGCTTCGGGAGTGACGGATGGACTGCAGAGAGGATGATGTCGTTATTCGTCTTTTCTTGCATGTTGGAACGCTATGCTATTGAAGCAAAGCACGGTAGTGTAGAGACGGGTCGTTACTTGGGCCTGATAAGCATGGAGCCCAGCAGATGATTGGCCGGCAAGAAGTGGTATCGTGATGTCAAGCGTAGATGCGACGGCTGGGACACCAACCCCCATCCCAATCAAGCCGGGGTCAACTATGCAGGCTTCCAACAGCTGGACAGCTTCGTAAAACGCGTTGCTAGGTGCATTGAACAAGGGCCGGCTGGGGAAGCATACTTGCCTCAGTCCTCCCCGTATTCGTTTTTGTGGTTTCAAGCAACATCTGGCATATCGCCAGAGATTCTCACCCTTTGTCCCCATGCCAGTTCCCATTCCCAACATAGACTCGTCCGCTGCTTGCAATTAAACTCGTCCAAGGCACTCTGCGCCGCTGACGGGTCCAGAGCACTGCGAGGCCCACCATTGGAGTCCATCCCTGTCCCCCGACATCAGGGGTTAGCGCAAGTTCCGCAAATTGCGTCGCCAAATCGACGAAGATGCCGGCGGTGCAACATCAACAGCGACTGCCTCCTGTCTACGAAGCTGGAGACGACGACTTTTCCGACGCCGACGTGCACTACATCTCGCAGGACAAGTCGCTGTATATTATTTCCGGGCAAAGCTATGTGCCTGCCTTGATCAAAGCCCCTTGCGAGCGCGACGATAGCTGCGCAACCCAACAGCGACTTCCTCACCGCATTGGCATACCACTACGCCTCTCCACCCAGCGAAGACCGCCCCGACCGCTCATGGCCACCCTCACCTACGCCCAAGATGCCCAGCAAACGTTTGGCGCTCCGCCTGGCAGCCCGCCGGACCTCACAAACTCAAAGTCGTCCAAGTCGTCCAGCATCCACTCGTCCACCCTCCTAGACTTCATGGGCACGACGGAGAACCTGTCGCACTTTGAGGACATCAACCTGGACGAAGCATCAGGTGGGCCCTCCTCCTTCCCCATGCCTGCGAGCCCGTCTAATCGCATCCTCTTTGAAGCCCCGCGAGCCTCGCTTTCCAACAGGAGCCTCCCGCATTCCCACTCGGCCCACTCCTTCCGCGACCTGACCGGCGCAACCAAGCCAAAGTACCCGAGCTTGAAGGGCCCCGTCAACCATGCCGTGCGACAACAGGCCCAGCTCTCCGCCCCAGGCAAGCAACAGGCCAGGAGAGGCTTCACTTCGCCCTCTGTCCCATCCCTCTCGAGCCTGAGCCTCGCCGCCCCTCAACGCTCCTCCCGATCACCATCCCCATCCAACACGCACAAATCTGCTTCAGCCCCGCGCACCCTGTCTCGCAAAAGCTCTCGGAACGAGGTTTTGCCGTCGCCCGGTTTGGGCTCGAGGAGGGCGTCGTGGCAGGACTCAAAAAGAAAAACTGTAAAGGAAAGGGAGGCTGAGTGCGACGATGAAGACGATGAGCTTCCCGAGGATGCTGTCATTTGGAATATCCCCATCTCGCCACGTCCCACCATGGATCGGTCGCCCGAGTCCTGGGTTGGCGAGAGCCCGCCTTTGGCGTCACCCAACCCTGATGCCTTGGTGTCCTCGTCTTCAAGGTCGTCCAGGACTTCTCCTGCGCCTTCTGTATCGCGCGTTTCCCAGAGGACTCCTTCCCCAAACGTTTCCAGTAGAGGCGTATCTCCGCAGTCGGCGACACAGCAGAACACGTGGGTAGAGACGTACACAGCACTAGACACAGATGCCAAGTTTCTCACCGGAAAACTGGAAGAATTCCAATCTGAGAAGGAGCGAAAGCAAGAAATTTCGAGACAACAGCCCGGTCTTACACGATCAGCATCCTTAAGTCAGCCAGAACCCAAGAGCAAAAAGCCGGCACTCCCACCCGTCCGCAAGAGCGATCCTCTGATCGATCCTTTTCAGCCATCGGTTGAGAAGCAAAAGTATCTCTCGCGGACCCGACCTTCATGGCTTCCTCCCAAGAACCCCAAGGAAGAGAAGAAGCACCTCAAGGAGTACCAGCGCATGTTGGCTCGCATCGAGGAAGCTGGTAAGTCATTTATGCCTTCAAATTGAGACCTAGAGAATCACATGACTAACAGTCGCAGAACGTCTCGAGGCTCAACGCGCCCAAGAAGAGGCCATAGCTCGTGAAAAGGCCTCTCGCATCAAGGCAGAGTATTGGTCGAGCTTACTGTTACCAAATTGGGCCACTGAGATGACAAATCCAGAACTTCGCGCCTCACACAGGAAGATGTGGTGGAACGGAATCCCACCACGGTTGCGAGGCCAGGTTTGGCAGATGGCAATCGGAAATGATCTCGAGGTCACGGAAGCAACGTATAACATTGCCTTGGAGAAAGCACGCAAGGAAGTCAAGACGCATGGTCACGAAGCGCTCGGAGGCCGTTATGTCTACATTGTCGAAAGCACCCAGGCCGTGTTCCCGGACCTCAAGATGTTCTCCGCACGGACATCACAGGAGGCAGAGGACGAGCAACCGCTACATCGAGACCTTGTCGATGTATGCCTAGCTTACTCGATGTACCGCCCAGACATCCCGCACTCAAAGTTCGACATACATCACATCGCCGCATTGCTCCTGTTGAACCAAGGCGCGCCGCAAGCCTTCATCACTCTGTGCAACCTGCTCAACCGTCCTTTACCTCTGTCTTTCCTCATCCACGATCAAAACGCCATACATGCCGCCTACTCCACAACCCTTCACGTTCTGTCGAAGAAAGCACCCAGTTTGGCACAACGATTAGAGACGCTGCGAGTCGAACCCAGAGACTACCTCTTCCACACACTCGGCTCCTTGTTCTGCGGTCGTCTGGGTGTCGAACATGCTGCGCGCATCATGGACATATACACGATCGAGGGCGACAAGAACCTTCCGCGGGCTGCAGTCGCCATACTTAGTATACTAGAAGGCAGCTGTATGGAAGGTGACGCGGCGCAAGTTGCGAAGATACTGCGGGAAAAGAAGATTGACCTTGATGTCGACGACTTCATGACCAAAGTTTTCGAGGCGGGCAAGAGCTCGTAGTGTAACATCGCTAGTGCTGGTTGCTGTAGTGGTCACTAGTAGCAATCAGAAAGTATTAATATCGCATTGTACAGCTGAAGGAATAATGGTATAATCAACAGAAAGGAAAGGAGACGGGACAGAGAGACAGAGGACAGAAAAAGGTCGATGATATACGAAGACTCATGCAGCGCGATTTTGAGCTGAACACATCACTGGTTAATCCCTTTCTTTGCATACAATGGCGTTCTCGATTTCCTTGCGTTCTGCATACATGGAGTTTTGCTATCAGCATCAAAGGCCTGTTCGCCATACAAACAATTTCCTAACCATCTTGTATATACAACGTAACTCTTAGATCTTGGAGGAAAGCGAAAGCCCAATGGTGAGCAGATGAGGTAGAGAATATATTACCATCAAGCAAAGCCCAGTTCCCATGTGTTTATTTTCATATAAACACGCAACCGGATATCTAACTCAACTTACCCCTCACTGACATATTGGCCTAATGGTGGGGTGAGTCTGTCTTAGTGACAACGGCAACGGCAACGAACGGGAGGCGTTATCGTTTGCCATGGCGCAGCTGAGGTGGAAAAGGGAGTACGGGAGCTAGTTTTTTTGGCCTTCGTATACAACGGTGCGGCAGGGGCGCAGTCAATAGTATGCAGCCATTTCCGGAGACGTGCTAAAGGGTCTAGGTGTCCTTGTCTTTCTCAGCTCAGCCCTTTGCTGTGTCTTGGGGGAGATAAGAACAGGAACAACGTTGTTCGCGATTGGGACTAGCGTCGTATCCGCTTGATGTCACATATCTGGATAGGCAACCACGACCTCAACATCCACCCGCAAACCACAAGTCTTTTCGTGTATACACGTACCCCTTTCCATA